TTTTGCAGTATAAATTTTAAGGCTTCATTTCCCCGAGGGTATCAAAATTTTTAATACTAAATATTTATTGAAGTTTATTTATTGATCAGTTATTGTGTTGCATTAATAAAAATTATACTACCTTATACAGAGTGTCTAAAAATTTATTACAGTTGAGGGTTGGAACCTTTGGTGTTACACAGCAAAATATAAACACTAAATCACCACAATACACCAAAACACTTTTACTTTTACACTGCGCGTCCAGTGTAAAAGTAAAAGTGTTTTGGTGTATTGTGGTGATTTAGTGTTTATATTTTGCTAAAAATTTATTTTAAATAATTACTAGCTTTAAACGGCAATAACTTGTTTAATCTAAATGGAACACCCTGTATATTTTATGAGAATCAGATGCACAATTTAATTGTCTATCAAATTGCCATTATACCATTTTTTACCTATCCCTTCAAGTTTTCATAGAAAATGCATTTTCTTATAATTTAGACCTCATTTATCAATATACCTATGGAATATTGACATTTTAGATTGTTTTTAAAACAACAAATCTACAAAATGTACAGTCTAGTCATATTATCGTTTTTAGTAAAACGATAATATTACTAGCCCATTTGTATGCAAAAAGAAAACTATTTAAACTTTATAAAGGTGTATACCTTTAATTAAATATACCACCAGTATTTCTGCCCAAATACTAATTAATTACATTGCGTTCGTTAATAAATTATTCTAAATAAATGTGGATTTGAATCAGAAATCAATATAATAATAAGTTATGAAAATGAACGTCTCTGTTGTTATAAATAAGCATTTGTCAAAAAGTGAAATAACATTTTTAAGGTGTTAGTTTTTTTACCACACTATCTAACACACATACATAATTCAGTTTTTTAGTATTTGAAGCAATTATTATTAATCAACGCAAACAGTCAATTAATGTAGTTTGAATACTGGAAACATATTAATTGGTCCTCTTTAACAAATATTTAAACAGTTTTTTTTATTTTTTAATGAAATAAACGAACTATATCGACAATATCAGTATTTGTACTCTTTAAAAATTAAAGGTACATCTTTAAAAATAATTTAAAATGTCAGTATTCCACGGGTATATTGATAAATGAGTTCTAAATTACAATAAAATGCATTTTCTACGGAAACTTGAAGAGACAGGTAAAAATGGTATAATACAATTTGATAGTCAATTAAATTGTGCATCTGATTCTTACAAAATATACAGGGTGTTCCATTTAAATTAAACAAGTTATTGCCGTTTAAAGCTAATAATTATTTAAAATAAATATTTAGACACTCTGTATAAGGTAGTAAAATTTTTATTATTGCAACACAATAACTGATTAATAAATAAACTTCAGTAAATATTTAGTATTAAAAACTGTGATACCCTCGGAGAAATGAAGCCTTACAATTTATACTGCAATTTCACAAAATTGCAAATATTTCAAAAACGGTAAGGTTTAAGTGCAATAAACCTTAATTAAATTTACCTTTATTTTAATCGTAGAAACTAAAAATGTAATAATATACAGGGTGTTCCATTTAAAAAATTACAACTTTGATATTTTTTATTTATTTGGGACACTCTGTATCTTGTTAAAATATTTTTAAATTGTAGCTCTAATAGTCCTTCAACGAACCCAAAACTTACAATTTGTAAAAATCTAATCGTTTAGCTACAATATTCCGTGTCGTATGTGGTGAACAACCCTGTATAAACACCAATTACGTTAGGGGGCATCATCTTTATGAATTTTACATACGATTATTGAAAAATAATTTACTTGTTATATCGAGGTAGAAATATTCTCTATTAGTATTATTCATATGAGATATGAATACGATAATAGAGAATAAGTATTCATCATTTCAACATTTTGACGTGCGCACAATTCTGTCGTTCGTCGTATGAATTTATTACTCTTTGTTATTTCTATTATATAGTTATTTTTTATATACTGTTTATACTTATTTATTAATTCTATTTTAGTGTAAACCAAACACACCACAAGTATTTCTTCGACGACCAAAAATTGGCGAGATGGCATGGTCTAATCAAGGTAAAATATATTTTTTATTGCTTCAAATATGATTAGAATTCCATTGATTTTTTAAGGATCGCCCTTGCTGATTGGACCAGCCGCACCCGAAAGCACAGCAAATGTTAACATACCTCTTAGTGATGGCAACTTGGTTTCATTATTACCACAAAAAGGAATCCGTATGTCACAAATTCCAGACGTTGATACGCAGACGATTCACCAACTTCAAATTCTAAGGGACAATTTGATTAAAGTTTGTAGTCATGTTCAGAAGTAATATATAATACTAATTTTGATTATACCGCCGTGTCAATGAAAAACGCCTTTACTACAATTTAGATACAAGTGTGTCATTAAAAAAATTAATGGATTTTCCAACTAAATCAGAATCTCTTGAAAAATAAATTCTCCAAAATTTGTTTTCTAGACAAAAAATGTACTAAATACTAGAGTATATATAAATACTTATACTAAAATTTAGGTAGAGGTGGGGGTAGTTTCGACCCTTCCCGTACCGGGTGTCCCACTAATAATAGCTCTCGGCTGTATCTCGGGAAGTATTGGCCGTAGAACCTGAGGAAAAAAATATTTTTAACTAAAGAGGCTAAAAAGTTTGTAGAGTGGCCGCTAGAGGGCGCAACTGCTACGCCAAATAAGAAAATGCAATTTTTACAAAATTCTGCCTAGGTAAGGACTACTATGAACAATAGCTTCATAATCTTAAGAAAATTTTGGACTTTTTTTGTCAGAACCATTTTTCTCTATCTGCTAAAATAAAGTGGTGGGGGAAGGTTAGATTTGTTTTTATTTTTATATGTTAATAACTCCGGATTGGATGACCGGAATCTAACAAGTGATGGCTCGTTTAAAAGAGCGTTTCGTACTCTATATAAAACCATATAAACAATAATAATATGCCTTTAACAGTAGACGCTAGAGAGCGCTGTCTTACAATTTAACAAACAATGCGGGATTTCCCAAAAAAATTAAATACAACGGTATATATAATTTCAGCTGATTGTAAAGAGAAATTAAAGTTTAAGAAGTCAGTGAAAACCCCATCTTGATATCTTTTTTCAATCCGAAGATATTAGCAAAAATATAATACGAAAAAAATTGCCCTTAACTATTGTATCTTATTTTTACAACACGGTATCAGTAGCCCTCTAGATTATGCCCATTTTAACAACAGAATAAGATAGAAACAGTTAGTTTATTTTAATATCAACGAAATACCAGAATACCATAATACCAGATGTATTAATATCTAAAATTAAGATATTAATAACAGTGAACAAGAAACGATGATTCAGTGAAGTCATGGTAGGCGTTGGAAAAAAGTTGCTTTTGACGTAATAGTATAAACGTCAAATTGTTATTAGATTAACATTGTTATTAGTTTTTTATGTTTTAATTGCTTTTTCAAAATGCCTTTATTATTTGAAGTAGTTGAAGTTGTTAGCATTTTGAAAAAGCAATCAAAAGATAAAAGACTATCAAAATGTTCATCTAATAACAATTTGACGTTTATACTATTACATCAAAAGCAACTTTTTTCCAAAGCCTACCATGACCTCACTGAATCATCGTTTCTTTTTCACTGTTATTAATATCTTAATTTTAGATATTAATACATCTGGTATTATGGTATTCTGGTATTTCGTTGATATTAAAATAAACTAACTGTTTCTATCTTATTTTGTTGTTAAAATGGGCATAATCTAGAGGGCTACTGATACCGTGTTGTAAAAATAAGGTAATTAAGGGCTTATTATTTGGTATTTATTATAATTTTGCTAATATCTTCGGTTTGAAAGAAGATATCAAGATGCGGTTTTCGCCGACTTTTTAAGCTTTTACTACTCTTTACTATCAGCTACAATTACATATACTATTGTATTTAATTTTTTTGAAAAAACGCCATATGTTTGTTAAATTGTAAGAAAGCGCCTCCTAGTGTCTACGTTCAAAACCTTATTATTATTATTTGTACGGTATAATATAGAGTAAGAAACGCTCTTTTAAACGAGCCCTCGCTTGTTGGATTCTGATCATCCAGTCTGGAGTTATTAACATTTAAATAAAGATAGATCTAACCTTCCCCCACCACTTTATTTTAACAGATAGAGGAAAATGGTTTTAACAAAAAAAATCCAAAATTTACTGAAGATTATGAAGCTATTATTTATAGTACCCATTATCTAGGCAAAATTCTGTAAAAATTCTATTTTCTTATTTTCCATAGCAGTTGCGCCCTCTAGCGGCCGTTTTACAAACTTGAAAATAATTTCCAGCAATTTCTCATAGCCCCTTTGGTTATAAATATTTTTTTCCGTAGGCTCTACGGCTAATACTTTCCGAGATACAGCCGAAAGCTATTCTTAGTGGAGCACCCTGTACATTTTCTTGATTTTTGTGAAAGTCAAATGTTAAAGCGCTTAGCAAAACCTAGACACACAAAATATCATTCAAATCGGAATTATAGTTCTCAAAAAAAATGTTAATTTTTTTAGAGTTTGATGCCCTCTAGAGGACAAGCTAAGCACTTTTGTATAGAGGTAAGTTCTGTCCAATGAATTTATTTTTATTCCAGAACTACGTAGTAGTTCTATATCCACGGAATATTGGGACACCCTGTAAAAATACCCTCTTTAAAAGTATTAACAAGAAAAATATTGACTTGTTCAACGCACCGTATAAGGGGTTTTTCGTTAACACGGCAGTATAGTTTGTCCAGCGAAAGAATAATATGACAGTAACAATTGTATAATTTTAATTCTAATATTTTAATAATTAAGTGTTTTTTGTCGTCTATTGAACTCATATATTCACTTGCAGACTAGATTAAATTTATTTAATTTTATATTGATAAATACATCATAAAGTTTTTTAGTAGGCAATCTAAATTATACTTAATTATCTTTGGTATTTTTATATAAATGTATTAAAAGATGTATTATATAAATTTATGAGTGAGTATTTTTTAATAATTTATATACAAATAAGTATATATGATCAGCAAGAGAGGGTCTTGAGTCAGTATTACCGCAGATTATACAGATTATAAACTTTGTTTTTTCTTTACTGTTTTTCGTGGTTCCAATTTTCGGAATCGGGCACTAGTTAGGTGACTAGTTTGCGCACATAGCACGCCCACTTATGGCCTCTAAAATTGTGCACAGCGCCTGACCGGCACAGCTATTAGAGAGATATCGGAAAACCGAATAGCGTCATGCAGTATTTACGCGTACCTTATCATGGTTACGATATGCGCGAGTCAATTTTTAACGTAACGCCCGCTAATAACGTGGTAATTTTTGATCAACACTTTCCACTTAAACCTGTGTATAAAACAAGAAAGAAAACATCAATATACAAAAGTAAGGAAATAACAGAATGCAAAGAGAGATTAGACACACTACTAATGCTATCAAGATATAACGATCAATATAAAGATATTTACAGAGCCACAAAGAAAGAATATGACAGATTATTAGTTAAGGAAAAAGCTAACAAGTATGACGCAAGAGTGAAATCATCTGATAACAAAATGAAGTGTTTATGGTCAATCTGCAAGGAAACAACTGGTAAAAATTCCCCAAAGGATGATTGTTTTATAGATCAAGACCCACTAGTTCTAGCAAATGAATTCAACAATCACTTAATCAGTGTTGTGCCAAATATATTGTCCAGTATTAGGAAAGTACCATTCATCTGTAACATAAGTGAGAACAATGAGTCAATGCGACTGAAATCTGTGAATATAGAGGAAATTCAAAAAATTGGTCAAAGTCTAAAAAATAAACATAGCAGCGGTGTGGACGAGGTTCCAACATCTATAGTAAAATTCTGTTTGAAATATGTTGATGATATCTTGTGCTATATCATTAACAATTCGCTAAAATATGGGATCTTCCCAGACAGGCTGAAGTTGGCATTTATTAAACCAATCTACAAAAAAGGAGATCACTCTGATTTGAATAATTATAGACCAATTAGCTTACTGCCAAGCTTTTCAAAAGTATTTGAAACAATAGTTGCAAACAGAATATTAACTTTCATGAATAGTTGTAAACTGTTTCAGAATATACAACATGGGTATTTGAAGGAGAAAGGTACCATTACTGCATTGTTCGATTTCACTACATCAATAATACAACATCTGGAAAATAAAGATCTGGTAATGGGTATATTTCTTGATTTATCGAAAGCATATGACTCTTTGGACCACCATTTACTACTAATAAAACTCGAAAAATATGGAATAAGAGTCCAGCACTCAAATGGATTACATCATACTTGACAAATAGAGAACAACAAGTTATTGTGAGAAAAGACGAAAAGATTAGTATGTCTAGTATACAAAAATTGAATATCGGTATACCTCAAGGCAGTATCATTGGGCCACTACTTTTTATCATCTACTTAAACGATATTAGTCAAACAACAAGAAATGCAAATTGTAGCCTTACATGCTATGCAGATGACACTAATATACTTACTCATGGAACAACACAAGATATTCTGAAGGAGAATGGCAGTAAGGCTTTCATGAGAGTAGAGGAATGGTTTGAGACAAATAGACTAATGCTAAATAAAGAAAAAACTAATACACTAATTTTTCGAACCAACAGAAGAAAATTGAATTAGCGAGCAATTTGAAAATTGGAGAAATGGATGTCAGCCTTGGTGGTGAATGCAGATTTCTTGGTATTTACATAGACGAGCATTTAAAGTGGACCCAACATATTTATAAGCTATGCTTGAGACTTGGCACAATTTCTTACAGTCTGAGAATTGTGTCAAGTTATGTGAACCGAGACTCAATGAAGACACTATACTGTGGGAATTTTGAGGCACTGCTGAGATATGGAATTATTCTCTGGGGATCAAATTCAGAAACTGCAAAAATTTTTGTGATTCAGAAAAGAATTATAAGACTTATAAAGCAACTTCAATACAGAGAAAGCTGTCGAGGACACTTTAAATCCTTCGGAATTATGACGCTTCCAGCTCTTTATATATATGAGTGTTTAATATTCATCTTCAAACATAAGTCCCTATTTGAAATGGAAAAATCTCATGAATACCAAACAAGATCCAGTGATGCTAAGTTCCCCTCACATCGTCTCACCCTGACTGAAAAAAATCCAGTATATATGTGTGTAAGTTTTACAATAGCCTCCCTGAAGACATAGAGCAATCGAAAGTCAAGAAACCTATAAGAAATCGTTGAAAAAACTCTTAATTGAATTGGAACCCTACTCAATCAATGAATTCTTAATATAAAAGTCTCTTCACCGCTGACAATATTTCAATATGTCTATATATTTGTAATTTTATTGTACATATTTAGATCATTTTTGAAATAAATATTTTTATTATTATTATTATTAACGTTACCGCCTGACGTAATTCGCGGATCAATTACACCCAAGAACGGTAAGGTTAACTGTTCTTGAATTACACCAAGCGCTATTTCTAAATAACGTTTAAAAATTGCTTAAATGGGCATGTGCGGGTATTTGACAACAGGGACCGGCCGGCGAAATCTTTTATTTTAGGTTATGTTTGAATTGTTTTGAATTATTATACTTTAGTTTTATTAGGTAATTTGATATTTAAGTAGCTGGGATTAGTTATAATTAAATAAATATGGCCAAAAATATGGATTCCACCTCTTCCAATATTAAAGAACCTATAAAGAGGCTTAGGTTTACACCAGATGACGACTTCTAAAAGAATTTGTTGCCCTAAACCCACTGGCAGACGTTGAACAACAAAGCACTGGAAATAGGCACTTTAGCCCTTTAGTTTTAAAATACCTAGTAAACTTTCAAAGTTTTAAATTCATCCAATTTAAATTCAGTTAGGTTAAGTTTAAATAGCGGACGCGACGCGAACAGAATTCTTTCCGATCCGATAACTATAAATGAAGAGAGTTAATACCACCTCATTTAAAGGAAATAACACCTGGCCTTATTAACGTCCATGCACGCTATTCGGTTTACTGATATCTCTCTATTACGCTGTTTATTGTTATTTTACGCGAGTTTATTTTTGCGAACAGAAAATTTTACTCGTTTGCACATCGTCATAAAAAACAAAGATTTTTATCTGTATACATATAGTATGCCTAATCTGTGGTATTACCATGTCTGAGATTGAATCACTATCGTAATGATCGCGACGCTTTAGTTCAT